ACTCCACACTTCAGCCATATTGGACTTCTTTCAATTGCTGCAACAAACAGTGTTTTTTTCTCAGAGCCTTCACCTACTCTTTTCCCCTCACCTGGAACATCCCTCCTCCCTCTGGCTAACTTTTTTCATCATTAAGTTTCAGTTAAGATGTCGCTTCCTCTGGGAAGGCTCTCCTACTGCCCCACCCCGACTGAATTAGGTACCCCACGTGATTCCCCTGCCATTTTGTGCTTCCTCATGTCACAGCACTTGACACACTGTGTTATAACTATTATCTACCTTAGCTAGACTTGGAGCTCTGTGAGGTGAGGGGCCACATCTATTTACTCTCTAGAGCCTCATCAGTGCCCAGCATGTAGCATGTTGCATGTTTGTCAAATGAGTGAATTCTGGTTTACCTTTCCACTGTGGTCTTCATCCGCTCATTCCTCTGCCCTCTACACTCCAGGCCGCTCCACCTCACTGGAGGACTTTCTGATCCCCAAACACATTAGACATGGACATACCTCTTTACCTTTGTTTCTACTGGTCTTTGTGGCTGGAATGTCCCTATCCTCCCCTCCTCCCCTCTTTGCCTAACAAACTCCAACTTGTTATTCAACCTCAGCTCAAGTTTCATCTCTTCAGTGAAGCTTGTGCCTGAAGGGGACCATTAAAATAAAGATTTATTCTAGGCAGGTTAATTCTTAACTCATTCTTCATCATTAATGCTTTATTATACTAACTCTAATATCTAGGAGCCTTCATCACCCCACCCTAGCAGCCAGACTGCCCCTCCTCTGTGCTCTCCTGACTCCTGGCAGCACCACCATTACAACACTTTCTCAAGGCTTTGGGTGATGATTTTTTTGTTTGTTTGGTTGGTTGGTTTAATTTAGTTTAGTTTAGTTTTTTCCTGGAGGAGGTAGGAGGACATTGTGTAACCTTAAACCCCCTGGATCCGTGTAAAGGAACTTTGGCTCATTTCTTCAATTAAAATGAGACATAAATTCTGTGCCCTCCCCCACCTTTTGTCTTTTCCTACCATTATTGAGACAAGCCAGGGCTGCTTCCCTTTCAGGAAGCATCATTTTTCCAATAAGGCTTTGATTGGAAACAGTACCTTTGCAGCTGGGCTGCTTTTAGCGCCGACTGGTGATAGGCAGCCTGGTCAGATGGAAAGAGCACTGAACCAGGAGTCAGGAGTCCTTAGTGCCAGCCCATCTCTGCCTCCACCTAAGTGTCTGAATGCAGTCAACTTCCTTTCCTTTCCTGAGCCTCAGTTTCCTCTTCTTTTGAACAATGAAGGGTTTGAACTTAATGTTTTGCTACTTAAAGTACGGTCTGCGGACAAGGAAAGTGGAGCATCAGTGGGTAGCTTGTTAGAAATGCGGAATCTGGGCCCCACCCCAAGGCTTGTAAATCAGAATCTGCATTTTAACAAGATCCTCAGGTGATTTTTCTCCACAATAAAGTTTGGGAAGCGCTATGGATTTCTCAAAGAATCACGGAGGCTCTTGTTAAACATACAGCTTTCCTGGCTGCTTTCCTGGAGATCCTAATGAAGTGGGATCGGGAATTTGTATTTATAACGAGTACCCCAAGTGACTCACATCCCTGGGTAAGCTTGGGAAACATTGGACATGTGGTTTATGAGGGCCCTTCCACTTTTGACATTCAGCAATTCTGTGTGCAACTGGTTCATTACTGCCAATAGTAAATAGTGGCACATAATGCAGCCCTCCAGGACTTTCCCTTCTCTAAATTGGGTAAAACATTTTCAGAATCATCCAGCGCTGTGCAGGCAGGTGGGGAAAGGAAGAGGGATTACAACAACTTAAGCCAAGTCTTCTTGATTGGAGAAAATCAGCAGCCGCCGGTGTTCAAAGAGAAATTACCTGCTTACTCAAGACTGTCTCCTTGAAGCAATCAGCTTTGATATAATCAGACGAAAGACCCCCTTGGAGTATTGAAAAGGAAGGATTAGAGATAGAGGGGGCAGTGTTCTCTCCCACATTGGCAAGGGACTCAAGGAGAGGGGGGCCAGACAAGTTGACAAGGAAACCTGGGGAAAGCCTCTCCCAGAAAGGGATCATATTTTCCAAACCCTCGCTGTGGATGTGTGTCCTGACAAGGGATGTTTTCCGATTTGTGAGTATATTTATATAAAATTTTTAAGAAAGGTCTAAAAACGAAATCACATTTATGTATTTAACAAATCATCTTTATTCGGAAAAGGAAAAAATTACATGAGATCAGGACTGCCCTGGAAAGTCCAGGATAGAAAGTTGCCAGTTTTTCTCCATGTTTGAGTTTGTTTTCCTTATAAATATGCCTTAAGTTCCGTTGCTGGTAGGTCTTGGCTACATCTGAGATTTAGACAGGTGAAGAGAATGTGGAAGGGCATTCAGAGGGTATTTTTCTGGGCAGGAAAAGAAGAGTAGACTCGATCAGCAAGAGTGAAGTTTAATGAGCATTGCATAGTCAGGGCCCAAGTCAGGGGAGAAGGTGGCCAAGAGGGAGGCTACTGAGCTGTTCGGAACAGAGGACCATGTCTGGGGACAGGGGAAGCTAGGACTGAATTACTCAAGTCAAGGTTTTCCTTCTTTGACATTTTCTCCCTACATCCATCCGTCCACCAAATCCTGACACTTCTATATCAACAGCTCCTTGTCCCCATCCTTCCTCTCTACCACCACTGCTCTGGCCTTATTCATGGTCTTCTTATGTCTCCATCTGGACTCTTGCAACAGGTGCAAAGACCTGTTCTCAGTTTGTCTTTACCTATGCCAGACTTTTCTCAAGCTTGAAAAGGCAGTCCTTCTTCAGAAAACTAAATATATAGAGATCTTACCAGAAATTATAGCCTCTTGAGTCTTTGTTCTTCCAGGAAAGATGTAAACTCTAATTCAAATGGCCCATGGGATCATATATGCTACTTAGGTCCTCACTGCGTCCCAGGGAAAAGGAAGTAGAATTCACAAGAGCAGGTGTTCTCAAATTAGGGAGGGCCTCAGAATCCTTTGGAGAGATTATTAAAACAGGAATTGCTGAGCCCCACTCCCAGAGTTTCTGATCCAGTATATGTGGGGTGGGACAGGAGAATTTGCATTTCTGACAAGTTCCTAGGGGGTGCTGACGTACTGCTTTACAGTGTGAGCACCTTGAAGGCAGAAATGCTTTCATCTGTCTCATCTCTGTATCCCCAGGACCTTAGCACAAGTCCTGGCTTGAAGAAGGCTTTCAGTAGCAACTGTTGAAAGAAGGAAATCACAAAAAGAGAAAAAAAGAAAGGGGGATGGAGAGGAAGGGAGGAGAAAGGAAAAGGGGCTGAGGAAGGGAGAGGGAGGACGGGAGGGTGGGGAGAGAAAGATAAGAGAGAGAGAGAGATCAGAGGAGAGAATTTAGTTAAAAAGGATATGATCTCAAAACAAAAGATAGTCCTCCCTTTTAAATGAAATACATTTATTTCTATGAAAAAAACATACTGTATTTCCTTAGTTTTCTCTTTTCACCACAGTCTGGTGAAAATTTTATTACAGACTACCGCTGGTTGCTGTACCTGCATTTGGGAACCACTGGTCTAAACCACCCTAACTATAATTCCAGACTATGCACTTGTATTTTCTTCCCAGGACCCTGTGTACTAGGCCTACAACCTGGCCACCTCAGGGAATTTTCAGTTCTCAGAAAGGGCCTTGCTTTTTCTGCCCTTTCCCATGCTATTCCCTCTGCTTAGAATGCTCCTTGCCCACCTTGAAAACTCTTAATTTCTTCTCAAATACTGCCAGTTCCGTGAAGTCCTCCTGACCTTTATCATCCCAGGACATTAATTGTCCTGTAACACTTGCTCCTTTGCACTGGACTCATTGATTTACAGGTCTGTCTTCACTAGGCTAGAACTCCTGGAGGCCTAAGATCAAGGCCTCGCAATTGGCAGGGTACCTGGAACATAGTCAGCACTCCAGAGATCTCTTAAATGAAAACCATGAAAAGAAGCTGGACTTGATCTGATGGGCAATAGACAACTATTCTAAGTTCCTGGTCAGAGAATGACACAATCAAAATGATCTTTTGGAAAGATTTTACTTGCAGTGGAGACCAGGATAGAGCAAGGTGGGAGAAAGTGACATCATGAGAAACAAGCAATGAGGAGGGCCTAATGATGGTGGGGATGAAGACTGGCATGTCCAGTGTGACTGTTGTATCTAACTTTCCCTTGGATTAGGAACACTAAGAAGTCCCATCTCCATCTACCTTCTTTGTCTCCACCAGACTGATAGTCATGGGGCTAGTTAATAAAATATGCTATATGGAGGAAGCATTCCTAATCATCTCAGTCCTTGGGAATACCTGGGATGCTGGCATCTTTGCTTCTTCACACACAGGTTAGGTGGAAGCTGCAGGGTTGGCCCTCAGTGTGAGGTTGATTAAACTGTTTTCCAAGATCTCAGCCTCCTCTTTCTGTGCTCTTTCCTCCCTCCCTCTCCATCAACCTCTTCACAAGCCTAGTGTCGTGTTCTCCCTGTTAATAAAACCTTATCTGAGAAAAATGTTTAGTTATTTACGCCTAAGAGTGAATAAGATATTTAGGTGTTCCCCCACCCAGAGAGTAGCTGCACTATCAACCTATGAAGGGAGAACAGCCACACTGTCAAAGGATTTCAGGCAGCAGGTAGAGGTATTTTCATGGAGCCTTTCTTGGGCCTCTGAAAACATGGTACTAGAAGTGACTACCTATTCTGATGGCACACACTGACCTTGGCCAAAGCATCTTATACATAAAAAAAGAAGTCCTTTGATTCCTGCTCGACTCTGGAAGGGAGATATGAGATCTTATATGTTGTAAATGCGCTGTGCTGTTAATTATGGTGTTTCCATCATACATTGATCCTCAGCTTCCTCATCTATAAAATTAAGGGGTTGGACAAAATAATGTCTAAGCTTTCTGCCAACTCGGACATTTTGTGGTTATATGATCATCGGTTCAATGCTTAAAAAAAGAGAATGTCAGCCAGAAATATTGAAATCAAGTTTTATTTTTGGAAAATGACATTACACACATCTTGCAAATGTACACAGAAATGAGAATGAGATGAAGAACAGAGCTTGAGAGCCAAAATGATTGCAAGAGCAGCTCTTTGGCTGCCCAGTATTGAATGCTGTGAATCTGCAGCGCTCACAGTTCACGACACATTACACACATGGGGAACTTCTCTAGACTTTGAAGTCCTCTGACCAAAGAAAGCCCTCATCAAATTGTGGAGGGAGGAAGAGGGATATTAACAGGCACAGGAGATGAAAAGGGTCTGCTCCCGCTGGTTTACATGGGCCTCACCAAACCTACCAGTCCAAGTGGGAACAGCAAACCAAAAAGGAGAATGCCTTCTTGGAACACTGCTTTTGAATCACAGTCTAAGAGTGGGTTAGGCATTGCCTGGGAAACCGACAGCAAAGCATATAAACCCATATCCTCGCCTTTTCTGGCTATGACTATTCTACAGGGGAAGCTAAACATCCCTGAATATCTGTTGTCGTTCTCTGTTTTTTTTTCTTTTTGAAAAATAATCATTGGTCATTGATCAAGCAGAGCCTTATGAGGTCCCCAAATCCCTCAAAATTGCTGCAGGGGTAGGGACCGCCATTGTCCACTGTCTTTCGATTATATGTGATTCTGAGAACTAGCCAATCCTGCAATGTAATCAAATGGTCAAAGACACTCCCAATTTGCCACTGATTTTTATGCAAAGGGGATGTGAGTCTTTGATCACAATGCCATTTCTTGCAAAATAGTCAATAACTGCCGAGAGACGACATTTTCTCCCTTTTGGTGGTTTGTTTTTTGCTGACCTTGCTTGGCAAAAATTATTGGCCTCCAAATCAGTTATTTACAACTGTAAGACACCTGGGAGCAGGGGGAGAGAGAGGGCAAGGGAGGGAAGAGGGACCACAAGGAAGAATATATTCTTTTCAGAGGTTAAAATGAGTTATTTAAGAAATGCGATGTACAATACCATGCATTTACTCTCCAAAGCTAGTCACTAGCAAGCTAACGCCTCTAACACTACAACCACCAATTACAGCTGTTTTGCTACAGTTACTGAGTTCTAACTACAGCTATAGGGCAGAAAGGGTGGGCTGTTTCCATTTCAAACTTTCTCCCTTTGAAAATGGCCATAAAAGCGTTTTCTGTACAAGTTTAATGGCACAAAAAGGTGACCGAAAATGTTTTAAAGAACTCACCACACATGAGAAATGCAAAATTCAATCAAAACATGCATTAGTTGTGTACAAGTTATAAGGGATCATTGGCTTCAAGCTGCAATATATTACAGGACCATACATTGGAGACATTTTGGTATAATTTCTTACTTGCTCAAATCTCTGTAAGAAAACTTATAAAGAAATGGCATTGGAAAGGGCATTCCATATGGTATTGCCAAGCGGTGACATTCCCAAGGGTTGGGCACTCTGTTGAATAAATTAGCACCTGCAAGCTGGCTTCTTTAGCTTCATTAATTACTCTGATACAGACTGCCTGCACAGGATCATGAACAGTTGGTGTTAATAGTAAACGTTTAGGTAAATTAGTAACAGAAGGAAAAATACATTTCGATTAAGTAAATGTTTCTTTTTATAGTAGGGATTTGTTAAATACCCTCTTCATTTAAATCAACCTCAATTGCCTATCAGTTTAGCTAAAACAGTTCAACAGTTGGCAAGCCCAAAACAGAAGGTTATTACAGACAGCTTAATGTGTAAAGGTAAAACTTTAAGCAAATTGCTACCCCCACCCAACACCCCTACCCAGCCAAACCAAATGATGGGAGAAATTACCTGTGGTCTCTCATTATATTATATTGCAGCTTTTGAAACTATGAGCAAATTTTTAAAAAATCAATTAATAGTATTTAGCTGATAGGAATCCATGGGTGGATTTTTCTGTTCAGCTGATTATTTTTCTGAGCACACTTCACTGCTCCACAAAATGGCAGACTAAAAAGGAACCACAAAGTATTCTGTACAGTACTTGGAAGGCAAAGACCCAAAGATACACGAGCTATAAGGAAACTGCTTGTTAGGATCTGCTTTGAGGAATTACAACTGAAAATGGAGAAGAGAGGGCCAGGATCAGATTGATTCCCATCAATATACTTCTGAGTGGACTGGGGTAGGATCAGGGCTGGTTGAGTCTGGAAATAACTTCTCATCACCAAGACAAAATCACAGGGCTGAGAAGAGGCGTATGCCCAATGCCTCGACAAGGAGGAAGGAAAAAGAAAGAGGGAGACAACGAAAGAGAGAGAGAAGAATTTCAGAGGACAAAGGATGGACATTTGTGCTGTGGAAAGAGCATGATAACATAGAGTACAAAACCAAGAGCAAATATAGTGAACTAGAGAGAGAAAGAAGACAGAGATACACAGGGGAGAGAGACAGAGGCAAAAAGCCATTGATTTCCTCAGGTTGTTAACTCAGAAACGAAAAGTTCCAATGCCTCCCACTTTTCCCTTAGTTTACAAGGTGTTTTCTCTGACCTCTGTTTTGCCATCTGACCTCTCCCAACTAGTCTGTCCTTCTAATAAGGTGCAGGAAGATGCCTTAATTCCAAATGGGAATTCTATATTCTCCTAGCCCCAGGCATCCAAGGTAAGATAAGATTGCCTCTGATTCCAGAAAATGTTGAAGCCCATAAACTAAGAGATAAAAAGTTAGGCAGTTGGAAGGAGAGTTCAAGAGTCATGCTACCTAGGCCAAAGTAGGAGGGCTGCATGAATCCTTAATGGGAAACAAGCAGAAAGTGACACCAATAGCAAGAGGCTGGGTGTAAAGACCACACTAGATCTTTGGAGGTGGAGACAAGCTCTGGGGAGCAGCGTAGGGGAGACAGAGGAAGAAGTCACCTTTTCCTGAAGAGAGGAGGGGCAAAATTCTCTAGCTAGGTATACTGAAAGACAGGCTGATGGAGAGGGAGCCTTTTAGTCTCTGAAAAGAAAAAGTGGAAGGGGTTTGGAGAAACTGCTAACACTCCCAGCCCATAGTAGGCTGCCCACTGGAGTCAGTGCTCTGTGGGTTTAGAAATGCATTTTCCTCCTTGCACACATGTCTTGGCTGTGGTGTGAAAAAATCTCTAGCCTTTTACCCTCTAGGAAAGTGAGGTATGCTAGCCAGAAGAAGAACAAAATTAGGAATTCATTTTTAAAAAATGACTTGTGTTGTCTTGGTCAATAATCACAACCTTTAGGGCTAAGGGCAATCCACTGACTGTTAACAGCACTAGAGTGGGTCTTGGCCAGCAATAGCCAGAGAACCTCCTCTCCAGATGCCGCTCCAGCCAAAAGGTAGGCATGAGGAATCAGTGCAGTGTCCTTGCTCCAGGTGGTCACACCTGTAAGGAAGAGGAAATCCTGCATGAAATCATAGAACAGTGGACAAGGCTAATATGGGTTCTCCTTCTTCAAGCAGAGGTTGAAGTGTGATAGGTTCGAAGTTCTATACCAGGAGAGAGACTCAGGGAGCCCAGCAAGGCTCCATTGCTATACAGGAGGCCTCAGGTCACTTCTGGCATATCAATGGCTGGGCTTTCATTCTCTCTAGGTTCCTGGTCCCAAAACATAGGACTTTAACCCCTCACCCATTCCAGATGAGTTTCAAAACACTGATGGTTTACTTAGGAAACCAGCCTAGGCCTAAGAGCCAAATCCCTTAATGCAATGAGGGCAATATGTGAGTGAGGTCTAGCCTTGGAGATCCAAGTGGCCCCATGTGGCCAAGGACAGCTTCCAATGGCTTTTTTTAAAGAAAGAAATCTCCATTGCCTTTTATTTCCATAGCAACCTGGACAGTGAAACAGGTCATTCAAAGCCCACTGCCCCACTGCATCTGTCTGGAAACGTCTCTTGGCATAGATGTTTCTAAGGTGGGCTGATCTTTAGGAACATCCCCATCAGCATGCTGGAGCTCATTTTGAGAACACGGGCATGCTTGTTCCCCTGTCCAGGGGAGATGTGTTCTTTAAGAAAAGAAAAGCTATTTAGAACCAAATCTGAGGGGGATTGGGGGCATGTCCATCCAGAGTATTGAAGGGAGCATGGAAGTAGACAATTTTGTCTAAGGCAAGCACTGGATTGCTGGTCTACGACTGGGGCTGGGTGCTTTAAAGAAGGATTTAGGGGCTCAGACCCCTTCTTGCCTTCTTCAGATAATTACAGGTCCATTTTAAAGTTCCTTGGTTAATTATGATTGGGAAGAAGCACAAAAGAGAGAATTTCCTTAGGAGTGGGGTAAACTGAGAAGGAGGTCTCTTGGAACCGAACTAATGAATACCCCTTAGTTTCCAGGAAGAGCCTTGCTGCAAGGAAAACTATGTGTTCAGATCTTGTTGCCCTGGTTTCTGCTATGGAAGGCCACAGGAGCAGTGTACACAAAAAGATGAGTAGGGTGTGTAAAGCACATACCTTGCTATTTTAGTGCAAATACAAGGAGCCAATGTTTAACATCAGCCAGGGTACATATTAGTCACAAACCCCTTGCTTATACCTGGAAATTGCCCCCCATCAGGGCAGGACGGCTATGGGGACATTGTGGATGAGGGCTACTGCAGCAAGGCCAGGTTATTTTCTCTAGCTAATCTCACTCTCATATTTTAAAAGAACTTATTGCCAATGAATCACAGCCACAGTCACTTAAAAATACTGCAAAGCCACCTCAGAAAGTCTGGATGAACAAAGCTATTGTTCCGCTCTTCCTTCCTTCCTTTCCCTGCTCTAGGAACAAGAAACATTTCCCTCAGCTCGTGAAGACCAACCAGTATGAGGTGAGATGAGTTGAGCTGCCAAGGAAAACCAGTCTTCCTCCATTCGCTTTGGACAGGACAGAAGCTCGGGGGGCTGTTCGGAGGGCTCCTCAAGGAGGGGCAGTGATTCCTTGTGTTGGATGGACAAGGCAAGGGCCCTCATTGTTCCCGTTGGTCCTCGATGCCTCCTGCTCTTTGGAGACATCTGCAGTCCATGTGGATGGGAACCATATGAATACAGGGAGAAAGAGCCGTATTAGGTTGCTTGGAGGATTTCCCACTGAGATCAGGGCAGCAGCATATGGCTCCAAGATGCAACATGACCCTGGGAAAGAATTCTCAGGAGCCTAGTGGAAGGCAATACAGTTCAGTGGGAAAAGGCCCTGGAATAAGAGCCAGGAGATGTGGGTTCTAATCCCAGCCCTGCCCCTAGCCAGCTGTGTGACCTTGGGGAAATTACTTTACCTCTGCGTCTCCGTTCCTGGCCTGAAAATGAGGAATTTGAAGTACATGATGTGATCTTAAGGTTCCTTCCAGCTAGAAAACTCTATGATTCAATCTAGGCTAATACTAAAGTCTGTAAGGACACAAAGCAGTCATGCTAATGGCTATCCTTTCCAAAACAGTGAAGAGAAAAGGAACTTTTCTCTCAATTTACTCCTAGTTAACACTACTTATGAAGTTGTTCAGCCCAGCCCCCATATATACATTTTCCCCTTCTTTGTCCCTATTTCTATTTCTGTAAGGGAGAAAAATAAGGAGGTAGGAACAAGCAACAGATGGATTATGTGTGTGTTTGTGTGTGTGTGTGAAAGAAGGAGGGAGAAAGGGGGTAGTGGAGGTAAATACTTACTGAATACTTGATATTTGCTGACTGTGCAGAAGGTAATACAACGGGACTTTAGTGGTAAAACTGGATCTGGTAAAATTGGGAATGAAAGACAGGGGTGAAGGTGCTCAGTTACAACTGGTTTTTTTTGCCTTGAAAATAGGCTAATTTAAAATGCAATTATTGAAGGCTTGAATTTTGAACTATACCAAGGCCCCCTGAAATGGCAGTACAGAAATATTTCCTTATAATTGATTAAAAGAAAGATGGAAAATCTATTATTATTCTAGAAGATTGTTGGTTCAAAGATCATTCTAAAGAAAATATGTCCATTTCATATTTTCTAATGGTGCATATTCACAAGCAAGGAAAGGCTCAGAGAGGTAACATAGGGCCTGGACATAGGGAAATCTGAATTCCTCCTCTGGCCATGCTCTTTACCAGCAGGTCATTGGGCTGCCTCAGCCTCTGTTTCATCTTTAATTGAAGGAATTGGACGAAATGAGATCTGGAGAAAGACTGTGGGTGGAATCTTTGGCCATCTGGCTTGAAGTTTAGAAACAGACCTCCTACCACTCTCTACACTCCCTCTCCATTCCAAGTAACAATTTTTCTCAATTAACTACAAATTATTCTGAGAGGCACTAAGAAAACCTTAGCTTCTAGAAAGAGGTAGGGGGTAAGTAAAATGGGCTTCTTAATGGTTTCTAACAGGCCTACAAATAAAGGAGAGGGGCAAAAAGAGATTCTCATAATTTTGGGTTCTTCAATGACCAATTTAAGCAGGAATCAGTACTATCATCATGTGGACTTTTCTCGAACCAAAAATGTTTTTTGTAGCTAAGGACATCTGAAGCTTGTCTGGGGGCATTTGAGCTACTCCTTCCACCACTGAGTTCCCTCCTACACAGTGCACATCAGCAGTTGCCACTGATCCATGTCGGAGTATCCTGTAGTATCTCCTAATTATGAAGCAGCTGCACACACGCGCGCGCATGCACACACACATACACACACACACACACAGCAAGCTTATTCCAGTTAAAGTGGATAAACAACTGCAAGTCATTCACTAGCCAAGCAGCAGTTTGGCTTTGAATGCTGCACCTTTCAAACTATCTGAACAATTACAAAGAAATAAGGACATCTTCATATCTGCTAAAAGCAAACACAGAATTGGCATGCATGGCTTTCACTTAAAGTTCCTTGTCTTTGCCATTATGGGCTGTGATTACAAACAAAAAGCAGCGTTATGAACCTGTACCTCAAAGACTGAGAATTACTTCAAATGATCAGTCCTTAGCAAAGAGAAATCCTTTCTAGTGTTAAAGACAAGTGAAAGGTTTCTGTCTTTAGTATGAAATACCAGGAATCTAGATAAAAAAGAGTTGCTTAAAATATGCCATAACATTTCATTTAAAATATAACTAGAATGTCTGGTCCACATTGAAATTATTAATGTAAGTATAACGGTTAAAAAGTTATCAAAAGACTGATTCTATTGAATTGGCCTCTGCTATTCATTTTGTTTTCTCCTGGAGGTTTCTGTTTGGCAGTGACAGCATGATTTCTAAACTACGTTATTCTTCTGCATTTTTTTTTTGGTAAATTTTCTGCGTGTGTTTTTTAGACAAAAGAAAATCACCAGTTTATAAAAAAGGAGCCTGAAGAGTTTGCTCCTGAAATACAGACACAATGTTTTATAAAAAGGATATTGGCTTCTTGCTATAAAAAGCGACCGAAAGGTGTCAGACCTGAAAACAAATTTCACAGTGTTTTCAGTGTTGGCTGTTTACAAGGCATTCAATAGAACAGAGATAGATGGATACCATACAGTTTGTGTAATAACTTGCTATGTTAGACAGCCTCCTAGTGGAATCAGGTATATGAAGTCCCTCACCCCCAACTCTTATTAATTGCTTATTGATTCCAAATTGTCCCAGTGGAGAGGTTGACAAGGAATTCACTGTACTTTATAAAACTCTGCTGAAATGTCCCCAGTGTCTCCCCATTCTGCCAATTCTCTTTTAGCTAGCCCTCACACTGGGGTCCTAAGCATCTGGTGTCAGAATTACAAGTTGCTGGTGTTTCTCCCCCTTGGCAGCCAGAACTGGTGCTAGACAACAAACTAGGGGCTCAATCAGGAGTGAAGAGCGAGGCTGGGGAGCTGCCTTGCTGTCCTCCCAGGAGCCTCCAGCATTCTTGAGATCGGGAGACAAGGGGCACTTGTGTTTGTCACTCTTGGATTTGCCAATGAGTTTCCCCCCCCACACACATTTTAAGTGTTATGTATGTAAACAACCCTCTACAGAAGGAAGACTGTCGTGTATGAGCAAAGTGAGACGGGAAAAATAACGCAGGTGCCTAAATATTCAATAGAAACGTCATGGACTAGCACATTTTGCATTCCTGGAAAGTTACCCCAATGGATGGTTATCAATCTATCTCTTATAATTGATAACTGTGGATCAGTGGCCCAGAGGAGAAATCACAGGAAAATAAACCCAACATATTACAGTGTGTTTTTAAAAATAACAATAAGAAAAAATAAAAACTTGAAAGCACCAATAGCCCTGTTGGACACTTGAGCAGAAGTACCCTATTGTAACGGTAAGCTTGGATTTGTACTCTGGACTCTGAACGCTCTCTCCTCCTTCACATGGAATCACCAAGTGAGTCCGAGTCATCCAAGGACAGAGGCAGGTACAGGTCCTGTGAGAAGATAAGAGATAAAGTTAATTCTCCTTTTCTTAACATCTTGGGCTTTGGGCTCTGAAATGAGCAAGATTATATGACTGCTTTTGTTTTTTTAATTGATATTTTCTCTAATTTTTATTGTGAAATAATTATAGATTCACAGGAAGTAGAAGTACAGGGAGATATCTTTGTACCAATGCACACTTCACTCAATTTCCCCCAATGGTACCATGTTGCAGTTTTACATGCACTCATGTGTGTGTGTGTATGTATGTAGTCCTATGTAATTTTAACACGTGTATATTTGTGTGACCATCACCACAGTCAAGATATAGAACTGTACTCTCACCAAAGGGCTCCTTCATGCCATCCCTTTATAGCTACAGCCTCCTCTTCCCCATCCCTAAGCCCTGGCAATCAATGATCTGTTTCCCATCTTTACAATTTTGTCATTTCAAGAATGTTACCTAAATGAAATTACACAATATATAACCTTTTGGGATTGGCCTTTCCTATTCAGCATAATTCCCTGGAGATTCATCCAAGTTGTTGCATGTATCATTAGTCCACTTCTTTATACTGCTGGGCAGTATTCCATAGTGTGGATGTACCACAGTTTGTTTAACCATTCACCCATTGAAGGATACGTGGGATGACTCCAGTTTGGGGCTACTAAATATAAAGCTGCTATAAACATTCACGTACAGGTTTTTGTGTGAACATAAGTTTTTATTTCTGTGGGATAAATGCTCAAGAGTACAACTGCTGGTAATTGCATGTTTAGTTTTGTAAAGACTGCCATATTGTTTTTCAGAGTGGCTGTACCATTTAGATTCTCCTCAGAAAAGTTTTAATGATCCAGTTTAACCACATCCTCACAGGTATTTGGTGTTTCCACTACTTTTTATTTTAGTCATTCCTGTAGGTTTGTAGTGATATCTCATTGTAGTTTTAATTTGCATTTCCCTAATGGCTAATGATGTTAAACATCTTTTCATGTGCATAGTTGACATCTGTAATTCCTCTCCATGAAATGTTTCTTTGTGTCTTTTGTTCATTATCTAATCAGATTTTTTCTTACTGTTGCATTTTAACAGTTATTTTTATATTCTATATATGTCGTTGGTTATATATGTGGCTTGCAAATATTTTCTCCCAGTCTGTAGCTTGTCTTTTTATACCCTTTGCATGGTCTTTGACCGAGGAAAAGTTTTTAATTTAATGAGGTCCAATTGATCCAATTTATTATTTTTTTTTGTCTTATAGGTTGTGTTTTTGTTGTCAAATCTAAGAACTCTTTGCATAGCCAAAGATCAGCAGATTTTCTCCTATGTTTCCTTTCTAAATGTTTTACATTTACATCTATAATCCAGTTTTGAGTTAATTTTTGAATAATATGTAAGGTTTAGGTTCAGGGTCATCTTTTTGCCTGTGGATATCCAATTGCTCCAGAACCATTTATTGAAAAGTCTATCTTTCCTGCATTGATTGATTTTTGCACCTTTGTTAAAAATCAGTTGTGAATATATATGGAGGTTTGTTTCAGGCTCCCAGAGAACTGCCAGGTGCTGAACAAACGCCTAACCCAGAAAATGTACCCTATCTACCTACTTCCAACTTAATTCTTGATGCTTCCACTTCCCACCAGGAATGAAGATTCATGGCTCCAATACTGCCCCAAGCCTTGTCTGTGTTTTGAGGAAAGAGGGGTGATGTGGCACTGGTGTTTTCAATGTTCCCAGAGCTCTATTTGGAGATCCTCCATTGACTGATTTGCGCACACTTCAGTGAAATGTTTCTTTGTGTTCTTTTGTTCATTTTCTAATTGATTTTTTCTTCTTGGACTTCATTCATCCACAGTCTAAATCAGTGATTTTCAAATCTCTCAATCTCTTTTTCCCTTCTCCTTTCAAATCTTCTATTTGAATGAAATTTTGCTTAGAAGCCCAATACGTGAAATAAATAAAAGTGTAGTTGTTCTGGCTGAACCAGACATGGGGGAGGCAGAATCTCACTCATCCCCAAATGAAGCACAATTTGAAAACCACTGTTCTCATTCACATTATAGCAAGATACTAAAAGAAACTGGAAAATTTAGGGTCAACTCTGTGGATATTTAAGAGACTCTCTTTGGTATGATGGAAACAGAGAACTTCATTAGAGGACTGTCCAAGAAAATTGCAGAAGACAGCTTCTTCTCGAGGTAGGAGAAAAAGTGAAGATGAAGAAGAAGGACAAGAATGCAGAGGAAGGGGACTTATTTGTCTAACATTGAGAATGCTTTCTGCTGAGAAAGAAGGGGCAGGAAAACTTTTAGGCAGCTTAGAATGGAAAGAGGAGTAAAGTGTATTCAGAAACCTGAGGTTTTAGCCCTGGCTAATTAGTACTGTGACATTGAACAAGTCTTTGAGTCTTCAAGAAAATGCAGACTTTGAAAGTGACAATCTACAATGTATTTTCCAGCTTGGAGACTATTATTTGGGGCTCTTCAAGGGAATAGTGAATCATTATTAACACAACAAAGGCAACTACAGCAAATAAACTCACTTCTCACCAACCTCACACCCCTTCACTGTAAATCAGGGATCAATAAACTTTTTCTGTAAAGGGCTAGATAAATATTAGTATTAATATTGTTATTATTAATAATATTATTAGTATTAGTATTAATAGTATTAATAATTATTAATATTAATAGATAAGTATTTTAGGCTCTCTTTGATGGTCACATATAGTCTCTGTCAGACAGTCTTGTTTGTTTGGGTTTTGTTTCTTTTACAACCCTTTAAAGATATAAGAAACATTTTTTTACATCGGGGGCCATCCAAAAACAACCAGGCCATAGGCCGTATTTGGCACTCTTGTTCTAAACTACCAAACAAAATTTCTCAGACAACTGATAAAGAGAAAGTACAATGCTGAGGAAACAATAGGAATGCAATAAAAACTTGTAAAATTGAATTGAGGCAAGGTGGCGTACAATGGAGTTGCACCTCTGAAGGGATATAGTTCTCAAGTACTTGAGTAAAGTAAAAATCGAACATAAGCAAAAGAATCTTTGAGCTCTAGACTTCCAGAATTGTGGGAAAAGACTCTCTGAAAATCTGCTCTTATGTAAATACAGTGACACTGGAAAAATTGTCAAAATCAACTTTTTCAGAACTCTGGAAATTAACCAAAGGCTTGCAACAATCCAAAAAGTGTTTATTTAAGAAAAATAGCTGAATCTCAGTAAGAATACCAAGATTTATTGTACTTTAACTTGATCTATTTCCATTCTCCCTCTCCACAGCTCCAATGTAGCTTTGAAAACCAATAGCCTCACAACTACAGTATCTGAAAAACAGCAACCTAGCAGCCACTGGAGGATGCAGAATGGGTTTGGAGCTCCCCAGAATGCCCCATTCCCAGAGAATTGTCACTATTTGACCTGTCTGGTAGCTCCCTGGAAACTCTCACTTAGGTTTCCAGGTTTTTCTTTATTTGGCCTGTGTCCGAGCACACTCACTGTGAACAGCCTTTTCAAGAAGTATTAATCAGCTGGAACTGTTTAAAATCACAGCTGCCTGAGCTGGGGGAAACAGTTGGGGCAAATGAAGCTGCTCAAAAATCTCAAAAGGAAAAAATGGAGAATTAATGTCCATAGAGGACTTTGAAAATCTCTTGACATGTTCCCAGAAATCTCTATGTTCAGGACTGGACATATTCTCAGAAAAGAGCTGACAATGGCCTAATCTCTCACCTCTGGTTGGCCTTGAGGCCCTGCACAAGCAGCAAATGAAGGCTAATGCAAAGTCATAAACTACCCAACAGAGCATTGAAATCTTGCTCCAACACACACACACAGCCCCTCAACAAAGGCTAGGAAACTTAGTGGATCATAGCATTTAAGGAAATCAAGCAAAATCACCTTTGAAGAATGAAGGAGCAATCAAGACATTCTCAGATAAACAAAGACAGAGTATTCATTGCTAGCAGAGATGTTCTACAAGAAATACTAAAGAGAATCCTTCCATGAGAAATGATGAAACAATAGGCAGTAATTCAAATCCACATAAGAAATAAAGAACACTGATAAAAGTAAACACAAGAGAAAGTACAGATTTATGTTTCTAACTCTTTTCTTCTATTATCCAATTCAAAAGACAACTGCATGGACTAGTAATTATAAAAATGTGTTGATGGACTTAATTACATATAAATATGTAATTTGTATGTCAATAAAAGCACAAAGGGAGGAGGGAAGGAACAGAGCTATACTATAGCAAAATTTTTTTATAGAATTGAAAGTAAGTTGATATTAATCTAAAGTAGATTGTATTAAGATGTTAATTGTAATCTCCAGAGCAACCACTAAGAAAAGAACTCAAAATAAAATTAGTAAAAATATAGGAATTAAAATGATACATTAGAAAAATATCTATTTAATACAAAAGGGCAGAAATCAAAGAATAAAGGAACAAAAAAGACATAAGACATAGAAAATCGCAAAATGGCAGACGTTAATTCCTATCTTACCAGTAATTACATCAAACATAAGTAGATTACACTCTCAAAAGAAAAGGCAGATATTGACAGAATGGATTTAACAAAAAAAGTGATTCAGCTCTATGCTGTTTGAAAGAGAAAAAATTTAGATTCAAAGACACAAAGTTGTTGAAAGTAAAAGGATGGAAAAAGACTTAGCTTGCAGTTAGTAACCAAAACAGAGCTGGAGAGGCTATACTAATATTAGATGAAATAGACTTTAAGACAAAAATTGTTACTAGAGACAAAGAAGGACATTTTATAATGACAAAAAGGGTCAATACATCCAAAAACATGATTATAAACATATATGCGCCTTAACAACAGAGCACCAAAATACCTGAGGCAAAAAATGACTGAATTGAAAGGAGGAATAAGCAATTCAACTATAATAGTTGAACACTTCAATACCCTACCTTCAATAATGGATACAATAACTAGGTAGAAGACCAACAAGGAAAGAAAAGACTTGAACAACACTACAAACA